AATTTAAATTAAGCACTATTTAACGTATATTGATATGTATAACGTATATCTGTATATTGCTGTATTGATACATACATACCTGATACGTACGTACGTACGTACTTTACGTTGATAAATTAATTAATATACATATTTAAATATATATATATATAAATATTAATTATATTTGTACATACGTGTATTTAATTTTATTAACAAAGTATATTGGCACTTAAAATATATTAAATATACTTATATTTATCTTATTTATCTTATAGTTATCTTATATTTATCTTATATTTTATCATGAACACAGTCCAAACATCCTAATTACTAATTATTATCTCATGATAACTGGTTGGATTAAACATAATCTATCGTCATATCGATATCGTTAGATCAATCATGTTGATTAAACATCTATCATTCTATATAAACCGTGTAACTTTCGTTGTTGGGTTAGTGTTTCGAAAAACTTAAATATTCGTATCACATGAAGATTATCCAAAATGATTGCAAAATGATTGGAGATCAGATAAAAAATTTGCGATTGCGCTATATGCGGTTGAAAAACTGGTATCGTACATATCGTACATATCGTATGTACATATGTACATATCGGTATTTATAGTATTATTTATTTATCGCTATCTATCTTTTATTTTTTATTTATTTTATTGGCTTTCTATAAATTTGTTGCACTCGCGTACGTGTACGTGTACATACATACGTACGTACTGTACGTAGTATGTTTAGGGGATCATCCCACTTTCTGATTCTTTTGATTCTTTCTGATTATCACCGGTCGATTTTTTAAAAAAATTATTAGTTCTTGTGTGTAGCCGTGGGAAGTTTCGATATTTGAAAAATGGGTCAACTCATTGATAAATCACTCATGTCATTGATAAATCACGCACGTGATCTACTTTCTCCTATCACATTATTCATTCACACTATTCATTGTTAGCCTCTTGATATTTTCCTGGCAAACGATATGTAACAGTGAGGTAAGCTTTTTTTTTTTATGATCTTAAACCTTTATATAAAAAAACCTTAATATCAAAACAAAGAGCCTGATTGTCATGATACTGTATTTGAAAATTACGCATACATTGCTGTCTATAAAAGGCTTTCCTTAAAAAAAAATTTTTTTAAATTCTCACACAACCTTAATTACGTACCAGAAAGTCTTTTTCGTAGAATTAATTAGTATTTTAATTCAATGCTTTACCAAACTTTGTCATGAATGCGGAAATATTTTCTTTTAAAAAAAAAAATAATAGATATATATATGATATATATATATACATGATATGGGAGTCTGATCCATATGTACATACGTAAGGTCATAATGTAGAAAGAACTTTGGGGCAATTCTTTTAACCTACTCTGGTTAATATCAAATCTGTCTTTATCACGACAAAATTATTAATAAAATTACTATGCAAATTATGGGTAATTTATCTTTCACGTATGTAATAGAGTTTTCTATGTCCGTACTAGTGTTGCCAACAAAATTTTATTACTTCACATACTCGTAAATTCTCGAAATAACGCTCAGGGTGAAATTACGAAATTTGGCCTAAATTAAACTTAATTCGGGCCAAATTTCGTAATTTCATCTCTGGGCGTTATCTCGAATCTAAGTTATAATTAATATTAGGTTAGAGTTAGACATAGGCGTAGATATATAGTAAAATCGCATGACACTTTTACTTAGCGTTAGTATTTTCGGTTTTTGTCTTTGTCGGTTTGTTCGCAATAATTCGGGATACATATCGGGTAATTTCGTAAGGTGTGATAATTAATCATACGTAACTTTTGTTGGTAACGCTAGTCCGCACTTTTGTGTAAGTACTTATCTGTTATGTTTATGTATACTAGATCGAATGATCATTTGCTCACTGCATTCTGCGGATATGAGTGGTTAGTCGTACGGTTTTCAAAGATCATTCTTCATTTTTGTACAATATGCTTGACAATCAAGATTATTTTAAACCTTTATTATCAATACGATTAAATGTTATTGTCCGTTTTTTATTTTATTTTATAGATAGATTTTACGTTCATAGATTATATTTTAATCAATTTCAATAAAACAGTAAACAAACGGTTATTTTTAAACCGCCTTTTTTTATTGATTGATTAGAGATTAAAGATTATCAGATCGGTGGCGGCTTGATTTTGTTGCGAAACTTATTACTGTACAATATGACAATATGATTGTTTCTGCAAATATTTAAGTGTCCGATTTGAACGTTAAGGTTGGTTCTTATCATCAATTAAATTTCTTAAAAATTCTTAATATAATAACAAAAAAAATAACAAAAATTTTCACTTATTAATAAAAAATAAATTTTAATACCGATGTCCCCAATAAAAGGTCGAGTTCTGCTCGCTTATTCTGGCGGCCTGGATACTTCTTGTATCCTCGCCTGGCTTCTTGAGCAGCGGTACGAGGTCCTTGCATACATGGCTAATGTTGGCCAAGAGGAGGATTTCGAAGCTGCAAAAGAAAAAGCCTTAAATATTGGCGCAACAAAAGTCTATATAGAAGACTTGCGTCGAGAATTCGTCGAGGAATTGATTTTCCCGGCTATCCAAGCAAATGCTATTTATGAGGTTGGATTTCTTTTTTTTTTCTTTCTTACTTATACTTGAAATTGTTTTTAACTTATGTTTTTATATATTAGAATGTTTATCTGTTGGGCACTTCGCTTTCGCGACCGATCATAGCTAAACGCCAGGTATTTATTTCATTTACATACAAAAATATATTTAACGTATTTTATTTACATGTTAAATAAATTATTTATATTTTTTAGATCGAAATTGCCATTAGAGAAAATTGTAAATTTATTTCGCATGGTTGCACCGGAAAGGGTAACGACCAGGTGCGATTTGAACTGGCATACTATGCGTTAAAACCTGATATCGAAGTGATCGCTCCATGGAGAATTCCTGGTAATTGAAAATACTTACATATGTTACAAGTGAGAATGGAATTCTTAGGATTTTAGGGTTAGGGTGTAGGTTTATACCGGGTGGGCGAAAAGTAACTGGACAGTGACCTTCTTTCTTCTTTAGTCGCTGATACATTATTGATTATATACCAATATTACGTAGATATAATAAATAACTATAAAAATTCTATATTTGCGGAGATAGTCACTGTCCAGTCACTCTTCACCCCGTATAAAATAATTTCTATTCTAAAATTATATAATTTTATTAAGAATTTCCAAATCCGCTTAAATTCCGTTTCCACTTTCAACATACATATACATATATAAATCATGTTAATTTTATTTTTTAAATTTAATTTTATTAATTTATTATTACTTAATTATTATCACTCTAAACATAGAATTTTATGAACGCTTTCCTGGTCGTCAAGCTCTTTTAGCCTATGCTGCTGAAAAAAATATCCCTGTTGTTCAAACAGTTAAAAAACCATGGTCAACCGATGAAAACATGTTAGTTTTCTCTTTTCTTTATAAATTTCCTTTTAAATTCCTTTAATAAATTCCTTTATGCCAATCCTTACCATATCTATTCTGATTTTGTTTCTTAGGTTTCATATTTCGTATGAGGCAGGAATATTAGAGGATCCTTACTGCACTCCTCCAAAAGATATGTGGAAATTAACCGTAGATCCTGAAGACGCTCCAAACACTCCTGAGCGCATTAGTGTTTCCTTTGAAAAAGGAATACCCGTGAAAGTTGTTAACCATGGTGATGGAACTACAATTACTGATCCTTTACAGTTATTTATTTATTTGAACACCGTCGCCCGTCGAAATGGAATAGGGAGAATTGACATAGTTGAAAATCGTTTCATTGGAATCAAAAGCCGGGGCTGTTATGAAACTCCTGGTGGAACTCTTTTGCGAGCTGCTCACATCGATTTGGAAGGTTTAGTACTCGACCGACAAGTTCGGTCTTTGAGAGATCAATTTATTACTCCTCAGTTCTCGCAATTATTGTATAATGGTCAATATTATTCGCCAGAGTGCGAATTTTTGTCCGCTTCCCTCCTCGAAAGCCAGAAAACCGTTACTGGCGAAGTCAAGTTAAAACTTTATAAGGGAAATGTGATTATTGAAGGCCGAAAATCCGATACTGTAAAATTGTATGATATGGAAGAAAGTTCAATGGACGTCCAAGGTGGATTTAGTCCCGTTGATTCAGATGGATTTATTAAAATCCTTGGAATTAGACTGAAAAAATGGAAGAAGAGTGCTCTCTAAATATAATTATTTAATCATTTTAGAAAAAAAAAATTTTTTATAATAATTATTAAAAAAAAAAAAAAAAAAAAATTTTTTTTGATGTTCTTCTATGTGTAATATTATAATAATATAAAAATTATTAATAAAATGTTGTTTCTTACTTAAATTGAATTAAATTACACGAGTGAATTTTTTTTTTTTCGTTCTATATATATATTGCATCGGTATAGAAACTATAAACCGCTAATTAGAGAAAATCCTATGTTGTACGAATTTATGTCGTACCACCAAAACTATAATTTAAACCGAGAATGGTAAACCCTCATAAATCTTAAATCGAAAAGTTTTTATGATAAAATGATTGATGTATAACCTTTCTTCAATAACGGAAACACGAAAAAGAACATTAGGAATAATAAACAATAATGTATTCATATTTATTTGGAGTTTCGTCGTCTTCACGAATCACCACACTCAAAGCATATGTTATATGGCTTTTGAAATCAAAAATAGTTAAATTAGTGGTGCTACTATATGTAATATTTTCTATGTGCTTTTTACCGATGCAACTTATGGCATATATTTTAGCAACTGAAATAATAACGTCACCAGTAAATTTGATGTCAAAAGCTATTCCGAGAACTTATGGTAACTTTTTTTTTTTCTTCACCTTTTTTTTTTTTTTTTTTGATATTAATTATATTGACGTTGTTTATAATGTTGAGGTTCACAGAAACGAACTCAATTTCTCCGATATCAGCGATGAAACACACCATTCGATTTTCAAAAATGCACAGTTACTCTCCACAATCATTGACTGATCATATATATCCTTATTACTTTCGTGCAATGCTTGAGCCTGATAATCCTGATGTTACTGTTGCTGCTTACATCACACCAGATCGATTGGATGATTTAGTAAGATTGGCTGATATGTGGAAAGGTACGTTTTTATATTTTTTTTATGTATGTTTTTAAAGATTTTTAAAAGATACCGTAGTGCACTGACCAAAGTACATATATGCGATGTAGAAATCAATATGTGGTGGTATCAAAAAAATTTCATGCAAAGTACCCGGGTATTAAAAAAAAAATATGCCATGTAAAATACCCGGATATTTTAATCGGAGGCACTGAAAATGGGGATGCTTTGGTCAGTGCACTACGGTAATTTTTTTAAATCATTAATATTTTTTCTTGAAAATCAATTTTTTTTTTTTTTTTTTAAAAAAAATCATTAAATTTTTAAATCATTAAAATTTTTCTTGAAAATCCATTTTTTTTTTTTTTAAATCATTAAAAAATTTTTCTTGAAAATCATTTTTTAGGTCCAATATCTGCTACTTTACATCTTCCTTCAAAATTAAAAAGATTTAATAATGATAATATTATAAGAGACATTTTATATTCCATTGAAAATATTTATAAAAATAATTCAAATGTTTCACTGTATGTTGACATACATCTCATATCGGGTCCATATAGTACAGTAAACGAGACGTCACAACCTTCACAAATTAATCTTCATATGAATACTGTACGATTCTTTGCTCGTACTGAATTCATCTTTTTTCTTGATTTGGACACTTGGCCAAAGTCTGGTTTACGCCAAGGAATTCTGAATCATGCTGATTTACTCTTAAACAATGATGTTTTGATATTACCATCTTTTACTTTCGCTAAGGATGTTAAAAATTTTGAGTTTCCTCAAGAAAGACAAGATGTCAAAAGATTGGTACGAAGTCGTGTATTGGGATTAAAAGATAAGGGTTGGGAACTTAATAATGGTCCAACATGTTTAAGTAAATGGATGAATAGTGATAAACCATACAAAGTTGAAGATTATGAATTACATTATACTCCAAATTTTGT